AAGCTGCTGCTCCCCCTGCCTGTGACCCAGCCTAATTTCTGTGTCTCTTAGCCCCATGTTTTCAAGGCTGGTGATGTAAAGAGGGGGTCAGGGTGAGCCCCCGCCACGCTGTCCTGATCTCCCCACCAGGAGATGGTGCTGTCTGGCCAGGTCCAGCAGCACGGGGACACCGGATCATGGGGCTATGCAACATGGCGATATCCATTTCCCTGCCTGTCACTCAGGGCTGGGAGCTGGGCCAGGAGCTGCATTTTAGTGGTGTCTCCTTCCCCATGGACATCCTGTCCTTAGAACTGTCACCTCAGAGGGCCGGTGGCCCATAGGACAGCCCCAGACTGGCTCTTGGGGCGCACTTCATCTCCTCATAGTCCCCTGCTCTAACCACCACCGTCTCCTCTGCCTCCTAGGTGGGCCGATAACTTCAGCGCAGCTGGCTGCAGTGGGAAGGAGGAGCACAGCTTCCAGCACCCCTTCCTGCAGGTGAGCCACCTGCCCCGGGCAGGGTGGGCCTCGCCAGCAGGACCAGCCCCCCTCACCCGCTCTCTCACAGGCTGTGGGCATGTTCCTGGGTGAATTTTCCTGCCTGGGGGTGTTTTACCTGCTGGTGTGGAGGGATCGGCGGAGGCCGGAGCCCAGCATGGCCCCGTCGCAACCCTTCAGCCCGCTGCTTTTCCTGCCCCCCGCCCTCTGCGACATGACTGGGACCAGCATCATGTATGTGGGTAAGTGCTGGGCTATGGGATGTGACCATCCCTGGGGCCAGACTTGGCTTTTGGGCTGCAGGACTCCATGGTGCATTTGGTTTTGACCCTGAAGTGGGATAGAGAGGTCTGAGCAAACACTTCCCACCTATGCAGTGAGTTGTGGCAGGGCTCAGTAAGCCGAGTTCCTTGTTGCGGGGCACAGTGTTCCTGTGGAGTGGGGATGTGGGGCTGAGTCTCGGCATGAACCTCTCTGCTGCCACATCTGACAGCATCGCTGCCCCTTCCTCTGCTTAATCACACTTCATCAGGGACTGTAGTGATAGGACAAGGAAGAATGGGTTCAAACTTAAAGAGGGGACATTTAGGTTAGATATAAGGAAGAAGTTCTTCCCTGTGAGGGTGATGAGGCGCTGGCACAGGCTGCCCAGAGAAGCTGTGGCTGCCCCATCCCTGGCAGTGTTCAAGGCCGGGTTGAATGGGGCTTGGAGGAACCTGGTCTAGTGGAAGGTGTCCCTGCCTGTGGCCGGGGGTTGGGAGAGGGGGTCCCTGGCATTGTCCAAGGCCGGGTTGAATGGGGCTTGGAGGAACCTGGTCTAGTGGAAGGTGTCCCTGCCTGTGGCAGGGGGTTGGAAGTGGGTGAGCTTCAAGTTCCCTTCCATTCTGTGATTCTATGATCTGCTCTTAATTACCACACAGACTGTTAAGTGGTGATGGGTTGACATTAGATGACTCCATATGCAACACATGGATCTGTCTCTCCTCACACAGCCTTGAACATGACCAGTGCCTCCAGCTTCCAGATGTTGCGAGGATCTGTCATCATCTTCACTGGGCTCCTCTCCGTGGCTTTCCTGGGCCGCAAGCTGGAGCTGAGCCAGTGGTTGGGCATCCTGGTCACCATCGTGGGGCTGGTGGTGGTAGGGCTGGCTGACCTGCACAGCTCCCATGACCAGAAACACAACCTCAGCCAGGTGATAACTGGTACGTGGTGGCACTCAGGGAAGGTGGGATGGCCATGGCGGGGTAACAACTCCCGCAGATCACATGCCAGGCTCTCCAGGCATGGCTTGGCCGTGTTGCACATCTAGTGGGTAGGAAGAGGGAGGCTTAGCCTCCCTTTCCTTCCTTCTTCTTCCTACTTCCCCCTTTCCTCCTTCTCCCCCCCTTTCCTCTCCCTCTCCTCCTTCTCCTCCCCTTTCCTCTCCCTCTCCTCCCCTTTCCTCTCCCTCTCCTCCTTCTCCCCCCCTTTTCTCCCCCTTTTCTCCTTCTCCCCCCCTTTTCTCCCCCTTTCCTCCTTCTCCCCCTTTCCTCCTTCTCCCCC